CTAACTGCTACCACTTAATGAAGACTAGTCATTGCTAGGCATTATTCTAGATCTCCTGTGGCATACACTTAAATAGTAACATTTTCCACATAGGAGCATACCCAAGATTATGCAGCAAGTGGCAGAGGGAGGACTGGAAACCTTCCAGTTAGGCTCTTGCGTCTGTAGTTTACCACAAAGTTGTTCCTCAGTGAGGTTGGGTCCTTTCTGGAAGGTCACACTCAGCATTTCAGGTCTGGAAATCTGCTTTGTCAGAGAGGACCCATCTCTGTATAGTAGATTCTCACTGACCAAAATGTCCATGAACTCATTCATTGGGAGAAACATAAGGTGAAGGTCAAGATGCTTTTGTCTATCCATTTGTACATTTTCTTCCTGTAGACAGTCTACTTAAGAGATCAGATTGTCATCGACAGTAGTAAAAATGGATTCTCCATGTCGTGGAGATGATTCTCCAGGTCATGGGGGAAGGAGAGAGAGGGAAAGAGGGGGAGTGGTATCTGAAACTGACTTTCCTATGGAGTGCAGAAGACGCAAGGCCATTTGGTGTCCCCAGATCTTTCACCTCCTCAGGGAACCCATTCAGACCAAGAAAGCTTCAAAGATTTGGCAAAAAAAAAAGAAGAGAAAACAACAGAAAACGTTTTTTAAAAAACTGAATTCAGGCCCTCAAAAGAGCAATTTTAGAAAAAATAAAGTGGAGCTGGGGCTCAATGGTAGAGCATCTTTTTAGCATGTACAAAGCTCTAGGTTTGATTCTCAGCACTGAAGTGGGAGCAAACAGAAAGAAAAAGAAACAGAAGGTGGTGGAGTGAGCCCTATAGCTTTTCCAGGGATCCTGTCCTCCCCCATCTGAGGAGGTGGAGGGACAGGGATATGAGGAGCGAGGCCAGAAAGCCATCCTTCACAGCCACAGTGCAATGACCAGCCTCAATGATGTGAGGCCCAGAGGTGGTTTCACCCGCACCGGGTGCAGGTAGCTGCTGACGGAGCTCAGCTCAGCCACCACTGTTGATGGGACACTCCTCTGTTGGGCCTGTGTCTGAGTGGAGGAAGAGGCCTGGCTGCTCTCCATGAAAGCAAGTAGGGAAGGGGAAGGGTTGGAGACAGACATCCATATCTTGTACTATATGCTGCGAGTGAAACCTTATGGGGTTGGGTTTGGGAGTTGAGGTGGACCAGGAAGTGGCTTTTGGATGGTGAGGATGCCATAGCTGGGGCAAAAGGAGTTTGTCTAACAGGAAGGAAGAAGGATGGAGTCACAGTGGTGTACACTTGCAATCCCAGAACCCTAGGAGCATCAGGCAAGAAGACTGCAAGTTCGAGCCCAGCCTGGGAAAGTTAGCAGCTCAGGGAGAGCCTGTCTCATAATAAAAGATTTTTAAAAGAAGGGGCTGGCCGTTGGGGATATAGTTCAGTGGGAAGGTTCTGGGTTCAGTCCACCAAAAGGAGGGGAGGAGGCTTTGGAGATGGCTCAGTGAAAGTGCTTGGTTAGCATATGTGAGGTCCTACATTCAATTCAGTACTGTAACTCACTAAATAACTAACTAAATAAATAAATGGGCATAGTCTAAGGTTTAGAGGCCTGAGTGCACCAGCAATGCAAAACCGTAAGCATGAATGTGGCTTGGCGAAAACTGTGATGGAAAGGTAGCAGGACTAGGATGACACAGAGCCTGGGTTCAGAAAATGTGGCCTCAGTGCTGAGTGCCTGGGTCAGTGATGGTGAACCCCTTAGAGACTGAGTGCAACCCAAAACCCATTTATTTATGATAAAGTGCCATACTGCAATTAAACCTGAGTACTGAGGTTTTAGTTTAGAAAAAAACAAAACAAAACAAAGCAACTGTTATCTGATGCTCAGTGGCTGGGGTGGCTGGTTCCCACGTGTGCCATGGTTTTGCCACCAGTGGCCTGGAAGCACCTGGAGGGTCTGAAGAGCGGGAGGCTCATGGCCAGATAGTTTCTGCAAGCTTCCCTGGCTACAGTATGGAGCCAGAGTAGAGGGGGCAATATGGAAGTAGGAGCCCACTAATGGGAGAGTCTAGACTGAGGAGGTGGCCATGGGGACAGAAACAATGTGGCAGATGATAAGACAATTATTTAGGCAACAGAAGGATTGAAGGTGTGAGCGTAGGAAAAGGCTCAAGTCAGCTTTGAGATTTCTAAACAAAGAAACCCAGATCTCTCACCCCTAGCAGTCTTGACCTTTGCTCTTCTTCAGCCTTAGTAGCTGCACCTGCAAGAGTGCTCTCCGGAGCTTTCCCATATAGATGTCCTGTTGCCAAAGTCTGGTTTGCCTGGGTTCAAGGACCGGCTAGGCTCCAGCTCACTCTGCCTGCCTTGCTCCAACCCCTTCTTTGTCCATTTAGCACCTCTAAAACAGAATGCTGGAGACTGAGGTGTCCAATATCAAGGTACTGGCATCTAGAGAAGGACTTTGTGCTGCATCATCCTGTGGAGGGAGAACAGCAAGAGTTTGAGCAAGCAAAAGGAAGGAGGAAACTCATCCTTTCATCAGGAGCCCATTCCTGTGATAACCAACCCACTCCCACCATATTGGCATGAATCCATTCCCAAGGGCAGAGCCCCATGACCCGATGGCCTGTTAAAGACCCACCCCTCAACACTGTTGTACTCGAGAGTAAGTTTCCAGCTTGTAACTTTGGGGGACATATTCAAACCATAGCACCTTCCCAACACTTTGGAAGTACATGGGGAAGGAATAAGTGGAGCCCCTTGATAGCCCAGTCTAGTAAAGGGAAGACCTGGGCTGAAGTCCTGGAGGAGACCTGGAGAGCTGTTTGTTATGCAGGAGACAAAGTGCGGGGGGACTTCCCAGCTGGGAGCTCTACAGCTGCGTGGGCCAACTGCACTCGTTAGAGGGACCTAGGGCACTCAGGTGACCCTACAGACTGTGCCACCCCAAGCTGTCCTGGTAGTCTCCTCTCTCTTGCTTGGAAAACTTCAATCATTGCACCTCATACCCACATGCCTCAGAATGATACCTGCAGGAAGGTTTCTGACAGGGAGTGGCTACTGCTCGCTTTGGCAGCACATATACTGACAGGGAGTGACTTGGTGTTAAGCTGAACCCAAAGCAATGGTCTTTTAGGCAGCAAGCCTGTTGCTAGCACCTGGGACCCATGTGAGGAAACCAGAAATAGGTGCCCTCAACTGAAAGCTGTGGGCTGGGCCTTCAGGGGTGTAACTCTTTCCTATCAACATCCACAAGCTTCCTTCCTTCCTTCCAGAATCACCTCAAGGCTCTTCACTCCAGCTCAAGAGTTTGCCATCCCCAGACATCCTGCCAGAAGAGCAAGCACATTTTCCCATGCACTGAGTGTGGAGAGATGTGTTCCCGCCTCCTTCCCTTGGCCTCCACCTCCATCTCCATCTCCCCATTGTATTGTATTTCACTTGCTTCACATCTCCTTCAGCTTTGCTACTCCTCTGTTTCTAAACAGAGCAAATTCTGTAGCAAATTCTGTTAAAGGCCTTTGGAAAGCCTCAGGTGAGTGGATCCTTAGGAGCACATGCGAGGAGGGCAATGTTCCAGGCACGTTTGACAAACAGTTTCAATGAGCTAGACCTGCCAGAAAGGAAATGAAGATACCCTGGGGTAGGGTGGGGAGGAGGGACGCTGTGCCCTGAGGCAGGGGCTGGGGGGGGTCCTGGCAGGCCCTTGGAGGGAGAGCACAGGCCCGGCTTCCCACCTTGGGAGGGTGCCCCTGGCAGGCAGACTTCCCTAGTTGCCACAACTCCCTCACAAGGTGCCCTCTGATACAGAGGTGGCTGCACCTCCTGGGGCTGGGCCCCAAGTCCCACACCCAAGCTCGGTTTTAAAAGCCTCTTTGTTCCCCAGGTGGAGTTTAGCCAGCCGGGATCTGATAAGGCCAAGTGCAGTAGATAGCAGCCCCGCCCTCAGCCGCTCCCGCCAGCCTGGCACGCACGCATCGTCCCAGCTAGGCACAGGCCAGGGGCACTTCTTGAGCGGGTGGGGACAGGGTCTGATCTCCTCTGTGTCTCACTTATGACCTCTCTCATCCCTCTGGGAAGCAGGATGGAAGAATCATTATCCCTGTCTCAGTGATGAATAAATCCAGAGGGAAGCAACTTACCTATGCTCACTTTTCCATCTTCTGGAACATCCATCATGGGCTAAGTGCGCTAGATGTGTGCTATCTACATCATCTTTGTTAGTCCTAAAAGTCAGGGAGGTCAGGTTAGTACTAATTCTTACTTTGCACATGAAGAGATTGAGGTCCAGAAACATGAAGTCATTTCCCCAAAATCTTACATTGGTAAAATCCAGATGAGAGCCCAGGTTCCCTGCAGCAGCAAACCAGAAAGGCAAGAACTGATGAGTTCTCATCCAAGGGGAAGTAGAGGAAGGCACTCCCACGTTCGGTCTAAAGGCTGGGAATGGCCAAACCCTGTTAGAGAAGGTGGTCCCAGAGGAATAACCCCCTAGGCTCTTTGAAGGGACTCAGGACAGAGTGTATGGTGGTTAAAAAATGTCAGCAGACTCTTCGGCGGTGTCGGCCTTGAATCTGGTCTGAGTTTGAGTGGTAAATGGCCTTACAGCTTTTGTGTAGCTCTGCCTTGAGTCTGTGCCTGTGTCCTACACACAGGTGTCACAGTCCACGGCCTAGCCGACTGTCAGCCACAGAACTGCACCATCGGGACACCCAGCATCTGACTGCAACTGCATTAGGGACCCCGCAGCTAGACCTGCCTGGCCAAGGCCTGACCTCCTCACCCACAAAACCCTAAGAAAATGAAAAGGTTGTTTGGAGTAATTTCTCATACAGCACAGGTTACCAGACAAAGGGCAAATAGGCAAAGACATCTCCTGAGGCTTCCTGAAGGCCTTTAACAGAATTTTGTACAAAGGTTTTTGATAAACAGAGGAGCAGTGAAGCTGAAGGAGATGTGATGTGCTCTAATCATCTGAAGGCAGTGTGAGAAGACACTGAAGTGAAATACAGTACATTGGCGAGATGGAGATGGAGTGGAGGCCAAGGGAAGGAGGCGGGAACACATCTCTCCACACTCAGTGCATGGGAAAATGCGCTTGGTCTTCTGGCAGGATGTCTGGGGATGGCAAACTCTTGAGCAGGAGTGAAGAGCCTTGCGGTGGTTCTGGAAGGAAGGAAGCTTGTGGAAGTTGGTTGGAAGGAGTTAGAAAGTGGGAATAAATGTTATGAGAGATTTTAGAAACTCACATGTTCAGTGTTGAAGAAAGTGCTTAAAGGTTGGGCCAGACCTGGGAAAGAAGTTGACAATTCCTCAGAGCAGTTGCTGGCCACATTTGCCCACAGTGGTGCTGCAGGAAGAAAATGCAGGGTCTTGGCAAGAAGTCTATGGAGATGAACCAGAAAGCACTTTTTGCCTGAATAAATCCAGATGTTCCAGCATCTGGCTTCTCCACAAACTTCTGAATGCTAGATTTGGGAAATCTCAGAGCAGTAACTGTGGCTTAGTGGTGCTGTTGGGAGTACAGGGAGGGGGAAGTTTCCAGGACAGGATTCTTGGTCTCCATGTCTTAATCCTAAAGAAGCAAAAATGGGCAAGATCAAAATCTAATAAATAGGAGAAACAGCAACTTTAGAGTGGAGAATCCTGTTTCAGCTAATTGTTCAAGATTACAACAATGCATGCTAACACCGTGTGCCCTCTGATGTGATATTCTGAAAAGGCCATATCACCTCTGGGTTGAAAACCTTACTCTAACAACAAGAAGCTAGGAGGTAAATGCAGGTAAAGAAAATGTTCTGCAAAATAACTGACAGTATTCTTCAAGATCATCAAGATCATGAAAAGCAAAGAAAGACTCAAGAAATGCCCCAGAGTGGAGGATACCAAGGAGGCACAACAAGTAAGTGCCTGGTGAGATCCTGGCTTAGACACTGGGAAGAAAAGAGATACACAGACGAACTTGTAAAATCTTAAATTCTGTACTTCTGTTAGTAGTGTTTAGAGCACTAGGGTTAACTTCTTAGTTTTGGTAAACATTATATGGTCATTGTAAGACATTAATCCAAGAGGAAACTTGGAGAAGTGTTTATGAGAACTCTGTTTTTGTGACTCTTTTGTACATCTAAAATTAACTACAAAACAAAATTTTTTTGAGATAGGGTCTTAATGGGCAGTTGAGACTGGCCTTGAACTCACTTTGTCATCCATGCTGGCCTGGAACTTGTGGCAACCCTCATACTTCAGTGTCCTAAGTGCTGGGCATTTTAGGTATGTGTCACCGTGCCTGGTTCTCAAAAACTTTTAAGTGTTATGGGCTGGAGATTTAGCTCAGTGGTGCTGATGCCTGCCTTGCAAGTGCAAAGTTCTGAGTTTGATCCCTGGTACAAAAAAATTAAGTATTAAAAAAAGTCTAGTGATGACATGAATCTTATGGACCAAAGATGGGCTTCCTTACCACACCTGAGTCCAAGCAATGGTCATGTTATGACATCTTTACTCAAACCCTGGTCAGAAATGGATTGGAAAAAGGGCTGGAGGAATGAAATAGGGTGGAAAGTCACAGGATAATGGTGGTTTTCATTTACTCAGAACTACAATGAACTAGGCTAAGTTCCTTAAGTTTTAATCTACTTAAACCTCACAACTACTGAGGGAGATGTTAAAGTTTTCCCTGGGTCTTACAGAAATGAAGGAGCAGGTTCGTACAGCTGACAGGAGATGGAGTTGGAACTCAAATACAGTTTGACGGCTCCAGGCTTCCTTCCCAACCTCTCCACCGTGCTGCCTTCCCAGGGTTGCCCTTATTCAGTTTACACTGCAAGGTCTCTGGGCTGGAGTGGCTGAGGGAAGAGGGATACAAGACAAAAGGAGGAAGGGAATGTGGCAATGCTGGAGCTGTCCGTGGTGCTGGCACCTCTCCATACAGGCGCAGTGGTGGAGGCAAGAGATGGGAAGAATGAGGACTGCGGGGAAAGCTATCACAGAGACAGAGCCCTGCTCAGATAGGAAGGAAATGAATAGTTAGATGTAGTGACAGATCTTCCATTGACTAAGTGCAATCAAAAGTCAGAGACTTCAAGTTTGGGAGACTCTGTTGAAATAAATAACTGTGCAATAGGTAATGAGGTGGGGATTTGTCCACACACCTGGCTTGTAACTAGTATTCTATAGCTATATTGGCTGTCAATTCTTTAAACAGATACCAGTTGGTATCAATTGTTAAACAGGTATTGAGGACCGTAGACGTAGCTCATGGGCACTGTACCTGCCTGGAAAGTGCAAGGTCCTGAGTTTGATCCCCGTTACTGAAAAACAAAACAGTTATTGAGCCCCCCACTGCCATGGTTGCTCTCCCAGGCCTGTTTCCATATCCCAGTATTTCTCATGACACAAGAAGTAAAGAGTTAAGCCTGGCACAGTGTGGATTTCCAGGACAATGTTCTGTCTCTAAGGCTATCTGGTATCCACTGACCTATGTAAGTACCTGTACTTTATCAACTTTTTTTTTACTGTATCAGTTTTTAAGTTCTTTAATACTATCCCCTTAAATTTCCATTTTACAGATCAGAAACATGAGGCCTGGGGAGGTTAACAATTTGCCTGGCATACCTAACTTTTAAAAGTGGAACCAGGACTTGAACTTGAGCCTTTTGAGATCAAACTTCATCTCCTTTTCCCTGTGTTCCTTGCTATCGGCCTGTGTGTCTTTCTACCCTGTGGTAGGGACAATGAATAGAGAGAGAAAGTTATCTAGGAAGCCCAGGTTTACTCAAGAGAGTTAGAAAGCCCTATGGTACTTCCAGGCAGGTTAGAATAATTTTCTTTGAATTCTATGGCCATAGATCTATCTACCCTCAAACCCCTGCCAGTTTTGTGCCCTGGCATCCTTTTCATGCTGAAAGTGCCACCAATCTCTTGATGCCTTTGTACTCCAGCAGCTACAGAGGACTCTGGCCCTCTAATGCATGCTCTGAGTTCCAGCTCTGAGATATCCCAATGGCCCTTTACCTTCTCTTTCGCTCCACTCCAGGCTGGATTGAGGAAACTTACCCCACCCATTTCTGAGGCCAGGAACTTCTGTGACAGGGCTCACCTCCACAGTTCCTTCCTCCAGTACATCTTGGATGTAGACCTGGTTCCATGATCAACAATCCAAATGCAGCCAGAATCTCAGAGAGAAAGGAAGCAGGAGAAGATGCTATAAAGTGCTGGAGCTGGGTGAACTTGTCAACTGGACAACAGAACAACACAGCATCTTCTTTTATCTTTCTCCATCTCAGAGCAGCAAGGCAGCCTCCTCCTTGGAGAAACCGAGGAGGGTATGGAAAGGAGGAAGACCTGTCCCTGCTCCAACTGTGCTTAGAGAAGCTGGGAGCTGGCAGGAAGAGAAGGTTCTCAGAAAGCTGAGTGGTTCATTTGTGGCAACCTCACATTTAAAGAGTGACCTCGGGCCAGGAATTTAGCTGAGTGGTTCCACTGCCTGCCTCACAAGCTCAAGGTCCCGAGTTTGATCCCCAGTATGAAAGAAAGAAAGAAAGAGAGAAAGAAAGCAAGCAAGCAAGCAAGCAAGCCAGGTGTGGTGGCGCACACCTGTAATCCCAGCACTTGGGAGGCTGAGGCAGGAGGATCGCTGTGAGTTCAAGACCAGCTTGGCTACATAGTGAGTTCCAGGTCAGTCTCAACTACATAGTGAGACCTTGTCTCAAAAAAAAGAAAAAGAAAGAAAGATTAAAAAAAAAGATTGACCTCCTTGTGTGTTTGTGTGTGTGTGTACTCACTGAATCAGCTTAACTTAATCTTCGTATGGAATTTTGAAAATTATCCCCAAGGAATATGAGAAAACTTCCAAGGCCATACAGCCAGCAATGGTCAAGATTAGTCCCAGGTCCCCATGATTTCCCTGATCAGGATTACACAGACATCATGGGGCATGAGAAGGTATCTGAAAACACCACTCAGCAAATATATTTTTATGTGCAAGGAAGCCCTCATCACCGAGTGTGCTTTGTCTCTCTTCTCCCTTGGCCCAAGCTGCTAGGCCAGAGGGTCTAAGTATGTCTCCCACCATCCTTTTTCCTTTCTCCCACATCTTGTTCCTCATCAGTTTTATGAATTACTGCTCATCTCTGTGCAGAGCCTTAAACCAAACATTATCTCCTACTGTGGCCTTTTTTTTTTTTTTTGAGTCCAAGGAAGACACGATTACTGGGACCCAATACCTGTTATCTCCCACAGGTTCCAGGTGCATCAAAAAAGGTGACTTATGATGCAGGTCCAAATTCTGCTTCCTCTTTCTCAGGCTCAGCTCTCAGCTGTGCTTAACTCTAACCCTAACCCTAACCCTAACCCATGTGGTTTGTCTCCCTGGGCAAAGTCGAGAAGGCAGGCAGAGGCGACCCTGGAAGTCTCCATATCAGTTGAGCTGCAGAGATACCAGGAGGCCACTGGAACCACAAGGAAGCAGAGACCACAAGGGCCAGCATCAGGAGCTATCTCCTTTCATCACCCCAAGTCCGTAATCCATCAAATGTGAGCAGGGGAGAACTGTGGAGGGAGACTCCCCCACTGTGAGTGTAAGGGTGCAGTGCCCCTCGGATGAGATTTCCTTCCCTGTCAGAGTTTTCTTAGTGGGATTTCTAAGGTCTTTACCAAACCCAGCTCCTAAACTCAATGCTCTCTATTTCTTTTTGGCCGAAAAATGGAAAGGTCCCTTTCTTGTCCCTAAGATCCATCTGAGCCAGGCTGTTCACTTCACAAAGAACATGGGGGAAATGCAAAAAGGAAATCATTATAGAAACTGTAAACAGAATAAAAGCCATTGTGTCCAAAGTACAGGTTGCAGATTCTGAGAATCCCATTAAAAGCAGTGAAACACTCACTGAGCTCCATGTTCCTTGATCTCAGGAAAATTCCAGGCTGATTATACAGTATCACTCAACCGGCCCCCTGGTCTCACCCATTCCCTCCAGTCTTGCCTGCCTCTGTCCACGTGTTCTCCCAGGCCAACTCAGGTCCCTTTGCCAGCCAGTCTATCTTCCCCTTTTCACAAGTCAATTCCCAAACTTCCAAAATGAGAATTTATTTTCTAGGGTTACCCCTAGACTCACTAAGCTGTATCCCCATAACCACACACTCCTTCTTCACTCAGAGAAGAAACTGGATCACTGCTGGAAGCAGTGAAACTTTTTTCTTTCTTTCTTTTCTTTTCTTTTTTCTTTGCTTTTCTTTTTTTTTTTTTTTTTTTTTTTTTTTTTTTTTTTTTTTTTTTTTTTTTTTTTTTTTTTTTTTTGTGGTACCGGGGATTGAACTCAGGGCCTTGTACTTGTGAAGCAGGTGCTGGAACCACTGAGCTAAATTCCCCACTCACAGTGAAGCATTTTTAATGAACTTCGAGATTTTCAATTTCACCTTCCTAAGGGTCTTTGCCAAATAAGAGCCTTCCTCCCCCAAAGCACACATGGACAAATGAACAAATGGGCTTCTAAAACTCCTCTTTATGTGTAAGAATTTCTTTCTACACTAACCTTCAGATCTCTTCGAAACAGTTAATTTGTCTAGTTGCTGGGCCAGAAGAAATGCTGGGAGATGACACCAAAGACACCAGCAAGGAATCCATTTGCAAAGCAATATTCAAGTAAGAAATAACTGAGGGCTGCTTTCAAGTTAACAGTTGTAATCACAGAAATGAAGTTCTGATCCTGTGACAACACCGCATGTGGGAGAGGACAGGAATGACTCACATTCGGTGTCAAGTCCAACAAAATAAAAAAGTCATGATTCTGGCAATTAAGGGAACATATATAAATAATTCCATATCACGACTAGTAAAAAGCCCGCAGACTACCATAGCAGGAAAGTTCAGGCAACAAAACTGAGCACTATGGAGACTAAACTTGAGTAGCAGAGCCAGGAGTGTAGTTTAATGGTAGGTCGCGTCTCTAAAACGAAAGAGGCCCTGGGTTCAATCTCCACCACCGCAAATATAAAGCTCAAGAAAAAAATCCTGGGGCAGTGCATTCGCGCCTCTGCGCCTTGACTCACTGGAGTTGCCGTCGTTGCCTTGGGATACCAGAAGACGCTGTTTCCTGCGCGTCCTGTATCTATGGAGACAATAACATGGCGGCGCTGTGAGTTCCGCAGCGAGTGGCCAGGGAGAAGGTATTTGTCCTGGAAGACTGCCTTCTCTGGGACATCGTGGCCAAGGGTCTCCTCCATCTTCACATAGAACCCTGTGGGACTGCGACTTGGACGTGGTCGATCAGACCGGAGGTCCCGAAAACAAAGGAGGAACAGCTCTAAGTATATTTTGTTTCCTTCATTTTACCTATTTTTCCTCAGCTTACACGTGGACCCGCCACTCACTTTTTCACTAATCATCTTGGGAATTGTTAAGGTCGGAAATTATCCAAATAAAGGCATCTAGTGATATATTTTCCTAAGTCTTTGAAATTAGAAAATTGGCTTAACCTCCCCACCCCACCCCCACAATTATCTGGTCTCTTTACTATGATTCAGAAATGGAAGTGTAAGTTATGATTATTAATTATAGTAACATAGGTTTGTTTAATGCTTCTTCAAATCCCCTATATCATTCAAGCTTCAAGTAACTGCGTGAAATGGGACAACCCTCTTTTGATAGGGGAGACTGAGGCACCAGAAGGTGGAGAAACTTGCCTATCCCCGAGAGAGTCTGGGGAGTCTCCTTCCCTTGCCCTAGAGCTAGTATCCCCCTCTTGCCCCACCCCCACAAGCCTGGAGTGGACTACTACAGCAGGGAAAGTCAGAGAATCTAAGCTGAGCAGTATGGGATTAAACGTGGAGCCTACTACTCCATCATCTCACATCTCCTCTATACACTCTCTAGGATAATTTCACGTGTTGACTGGAGACTTCTTTCAGAACCCTAAGGCAGGAGCTTTCTGTAGAATCCTCTGAAGTCAAAGAAATCAGTGAGTAGGAACAGGACTGCAAAACCATAGTGGCACAAAACTAATAGGACTCTCCTCCCTGCCTCCCCAGCTTGTGTTTCTTGGATTCCATTTGAGCATCCACTTTACAACTGAAGGTAAGAACTTTGCCTGTCTTGTCCTGTGTGTAGCACAGTGCCTGCTACGAGGCAGGCACTTGGTAAATGCTTTGTGAATGAGTGAGTGAAGGAATCCAAGATGACCCCCTCCAGAGGGTTTGGAGAACCTTCTAGGAACAACTGAGTCAACAGAATCTTTTGTGCTGGATAAGGAAGGAGGAAATGGGAGAGTGTTTGCAGAAAGTATATAAATTCCTAAAGGTAAATTTTAGGGTAAGTTAAACACAAGCCACATATAACCACAAACTGTCATAGGGATTAGATGTAGATGCTGTTCCTGGAAAACAGCCCCTGTATGTATACGTGGCATCTTGCGTATACTTTGCATGTCATGCACACATATGTTTGCATATAATTTTCAACTGCAGTCCATCCAGGGACCTCTCTGCTCAGGGTTTGTTTATTCATTCATTTTTAACTTTTTTATTTTTTGGTACCAGGGATTGAACTTGGATCCTTGAACTTGCAAGGCAGGTGGCATATTCGTTTTCTGTTTTGTTTTATTTTGTTTTGTTTTTGTATTGGGGATCAAACTCAGGACCTTGCAATTATGAGGGAGTCGGTGGCACCACTGTATTCATTCATTTTTGCAGTACTGGGGATTGAACTTAGAACTTTCACACTGAGCTACATCCCCAGCCCCTTTTTTGTATTTTTTATTTTGAGACTGAGTTTTGCTAAGTCACTTAGTTGCCCAGGTGTTCTTGAACTTACGATCCTTCTGCCTCAGCCTCTGAGTACTAGGACTGCAAGTGGCATGTGCCACCACACCCAGATTCATTTATTCTTTAATCCATTTTTTAGTGAATGTTTACTTTAAACATGGACTACAGGGTATGGTTGATGAAGAGGAAATCCAGAATACCAAGAACCTGTTAATCTCATTTGCTCCTTATTCCTCTTCTCACAGCAGGCAACACATATTCAGAGGAGGCTAGAGAGTAAAGGTAGCTAAAGGTAATGTAAGTGTATTTCTGTGACTCACATTGAAGATGTAGTGATATCAAGTGTGGTCCTGGAGAAGCATAAGGAGGTGGGCCTTCTCCAAGAACCTTCTATTTTTTTTTGGCTTTTTTTTTTTTTAGACAGGGTCTCACTATGTAGTTGAGACTGACCTGGAACTCACTATGTAGCCCAGGTTGGTTTCGAACTCACAACAATCCTCCTGGCTCATCCAAGACCCTTCTTTTGAGTGCCTTTCTTGGGAGCCTAGTGACTCACCACTCAGGAAGGCCCTAGATCTTTTTTTCGCATTTCTCATTTCTCATGTGCCACCTTGTGCTTCTTCCCAGACCTGGGAAATAAGCCCTCTTCTCCATCTCAGTGATGATCACTGGAAGTCTCACTATTGCCCTCTTGTTATGTCTTTCCTATTTCACCTGTTCTCTCCCAGCTTGGCTCCCAGCTGGGTCTGGCAGGAGCTCCTGGCTTAGCTAGAGTGCTTCTCTCAGATTCATGTTTCAGGTGCCCAGCTCCCACCTGGGCAATCCCAAGCCCATCATGAGGCCCACAGATAGTGGGGACTGTACCGTGAGCTCCGGTGGATCATGCCTGAGTGCCAGCACAACGGTTGTTCCCACCATCAATGGCAGCAGCATGGTCATGAGTGCTTGCAGCAGCAATGTCAGTGCCCAGGTGAGGACCTGGTAAGGGCAGTGGAACGGGGTGTGGTGGGGCCAGGCAGGGCATGGATGCCAGGAAGTGAGTTGGGAATCTGAAAGAGTTGCCTCTCCCATCCATACTCAGCACTCTGCATAGACAGAGGCTCAGTTAGACTGGAGTGCCAGCAGCAGTGAGTGTGCCATGAGGGGCTTCTGGGAGGTGCAACCTGGAGGCTGTCCTGGTAGCCAGTGTTTCCTCATTCACAAAACTCTTTTGGCCTTGACCCCTATGGTTTGGGGTCTGACCAATATGTGAATGTTGTTTACTTTTTGCAACTGCTGTGATTCTGTGTGACAGTGCAGCTGTCCGGGGTCTGACCAGAGAGGATGACTTGTGTTTGGAGCAGCATGTGTCTGCGCTGTGTGGGTGTCCTGTGCTTCCTTAGATGTGATGGGCTTTGCATTCTCTTCCCTGTGGACTGGGGGGTCAGTGGAAGGTGTCTCACACTCCACCTGTGCCTACTGGGCCTTTTCTCCTCTGCTCTGAGCAGGCAGGAGATTGCTAGTTGAATGAAACGGAGAAGCTAGGTATTTCTTTTCCTCTCTGTGCTTGGTATGATGTATCAGCAGCTTCATCTTCCTTGTGATTCTGTTTTCTTCCAGGCAGGCCTCAGGGCTCCAATAACCTGATGGCCTGTCCTCTCCTGGGTGTGGTGCTAGATTCCTGAAGGTGCTAACCCTGGGTTACTTCGTTGCCCCTGCCTGTGCATTAAAGCCGTGTTTTAAACACAAGGGTGGCCTCTGCTTTCCCGGTTGGGCTCTGACTGATGCAGCAACTGATATTTATAGTAAATTACCCACCCTCATCCATGTCACCCTTGCTGCATGGACAATCAAGAACCATCTGACGCAGAGACCATCTGACGCTCTCTGTAATATTGAAATTGAGAATGTAGTGTCCAAGAGAGAAGGGATTTGTCAGTCTTGTTCACCATTGTAGTCTTAGCACCTAGCACAGTGTCTGGCATATAATAGTCAACAAATACTTGTTGAATGGATGAGTGCATCCTTGTGTGATGTAACAGTTGACAAGCAATACTTGGTCAAAGATGAAAGGGCAGTGAGCCGAGTAGCACAGCAGTGGCCACGGCAGGAAGAAGTACTTGGTTCCACCCTCATCCACCTGCTGCCCCAGGGGGTTCCATCTTTTCCCTTCCTTAGACACATAATGGGATTTTAAAAATAAGGTGATTGTTTACATTGTAAAAAGAAATTGTGTTACAGTACAAGGCACATCACCATTGACACCCCTCAAAATATTCCTTCTCACTTCAAACATCCTAATCCTATTGTTTTGCCACTTTCCAAAGCAGTTCCAGAAGCCCTCTTTTGAGAGTGTCTTTAGCTATGCTGTCCTGGCTGTCTTGAGATCCCGAATCCATTGAAAACATTACCTGTGTAAGCCGGGCATGGTGGTGCACGCCTGTAATCCCAGCACTCAGGAGGCTGAGGCAGGAGGATCACTGTGAGTCCGAGACCATCCTGGGCTACATAGTGAGTTCCAGGTCAGTCTCAACTACAAGGTGAGACCCTGACTCAAAAAACCAAAAAAAAAAAAAAATGAAAACATTACCTGTCATGGTCATTTTGACTTTGGAGAAGAACTGCAAGTCCTTTGGTGCCAGATCAGGTGAATAAGGTGGATGAGGACACATAATATTTTTATGAATCTGCCTTTTCTTTGGATGTCACTTGACAGCAGCTTTCATTGTATTTTTTTTTTTAATCACAGCTGGTAAAGACACTTGTGAAAGAACTCCCAGAACTGCTTCAGAAAAATCACAAGATATTTTTCTTTTTAAAACTTTATTTTGAAAAGAAAATGTGACAAGAACAATGCAGTGAGTGCGTTGGGGGCAAGGGAGGAATTCTGAGAGGGATTACGGCAGTGTGGGTTTTTTTTCAGTGTAATACATTTTTTAAAAATTTAAACATTCACTGTACACTTTTACCACACCCTGTAGATAGGTGTCATGGATCAGCCTATGAAGAACTTGTCCACTACAGGCAGGGAAACACAGGCACATTGCTTCTCCAACATGGCCAAGAACAGCATTCAGAGATGCCCAGCACAAGGCCATGGGTGGTCTTGGTCATGGACTAATCAGCTGAAGAATGGGGGAGGAACTATGGTGCATCCTATGGTCTGGAAAAGTCCTGGGATAGAACATTGCAGCTAGGAGAAGTGAAGAGCAGGAGGAGGAGAAGGAGCGGGAAGTGTGTGTGTTGGGAGGAGATGATGATGGTGACGCAGAGGGAAAGGTATCTGAGGGTGGGGGACTTGGCTCAGTGGTTCCACCACCTGCCTTGCAAATGAG